TGCTGGATGATTTTACCCAGAATGAAGCTGCTGCTGAATGACCATGTTTGCTAGTATTTTTCAGGGCCGAGCGGCCCACTGAAGTTGTTCATGGGGGTTTAGTCTAAGGATACACAGGATGAGGGTGATATGCCTGGGTGGCCTCTGCAGTAGGCAGTGCTGACCTACCACTCATGTACTGTGAATTATTGGGCCTTGTCTCTCACAGTGCCTCAAATTCAAGTTCCTTGAGAGAGAGGGGTTCTAACTGCTTCTCTCTGTCACCTCCACTACAGAAAGATACAGGGAACCAAGGAAGCTTGGCGAGAGCTACAGCCTGCCCTGACTCTTAGTTTCTCCTACACTTGTAATTTGTTCTGTGCTTGCCTGGTGATAGTCAACACCAGAAGAAGGGATGCTACTGAACCTCTGTGTGCCTCAGTTTCCTCACTTATATATTGGTGCTAATGACCAGTGTTAATAACCTCTGCCACTTAGGGCTGTCCTAAGGATTGAGTAAAAGGATGGAGATTAAATAAGGTGATAATTACTGAGCAGTGCTGTGCCATAGTGAGTGGCAAGCATTAGATCAAAGCTGGCCCCTGATAAAGTGCTTGTTGTGTGTCAGCTGTGATCATCCTGTGTCCTGCCAGGGCCCCCACAGCATGGGAGTGCTGAGCCTGCCGCTGTGTAGAAGGATGCACGTGATCACAGCATGCTGGAGTCCTTCCAGCACTGGCCTGCCCCCTTGGCATCCCTCCCTGTGTCCCAGTAATGATAGAGGGTAGTGTGTTGTGTTGTGACTAGCAGCTGCTGGAGGCTTCAGGGCAAGGTATGCAGCTTTGTCCTGGCTGTGGCCAAGGAAGCTGCTTCCCCTGGCATCATCTTTGGTCCTGTGATTAGCATGTGGAATTTCTAAGTACAAGGCTGTAAATCCATAAAGAGTGGTAGGTTCCTATTGTTCTTTATAAAATAGACTAGCTAAAGCAAAGCATCCATCAGAAACAAACTTCTGCAGCTCAGAAGAGTGGACAAAGAAACATGAGATAAATGGAAAGACTCAAGATGCAAATTGTTGTTGGACATATAAGTAGGACAGGTGCAGCTCACATAGAGAAGGGTGATAGGTGACTTGTTTGTTCTCTAAACTTGTTTTCCCATTTCTCCAATATTTCACAGTAGTCAAGTATTTTATACTTGGGGAAAGTTATTAAAACATAGAGAGAAACATCAATGAAGACAAAAAAATCTCTATATTTTTTCCTTCGCATCTCAGTTACAAAGAATGTACCTTCCCTTTCAGAGTCCCCC